ATGACTATTCACGAGAGACTCGGTCATGAGTCGAACTCAAACCCTATCTAGGATCGAGTCGCGAATAAGGCTAAGAGCCGTGTATTGCAGCATCTTGTCTGTGACAACTCCATTGAATTCACCAACTCCAGAGAACTCTTTGACATCGTAATCAATGTTCCGTTCGCGGAGCTTGCACAAGAGGTCACGGATGGTCTTCATGAGAGAGCCTGGTTGGAGTTCACCGCCTACTTCACCGCCAATGACACCGGCCGACTTCTTCTTCCACTTGACGCCACAAAGTGTGATGATGCGGTTCATCAAGCTACGCTTCCAAGGAGTCTTTTCGCCTTCCAGATAGTCATACAAGACGTAATCCACTGCGTCAAAATCACCCTTCGCTTGGAGGTATCGACAGTTGACTTTGACCAAGAGCCGCCGGGACCAGTCTTGGTTCGACTCCTTCAGAGTATCTTCCATCCGTTTGACACAAGCCAACTTCCGCGCTTCACGTGCCTGGGTGTTGCTGCCACGCTTACAGTTGTCAACCAGATCTTGTTCGTCTCCAAAATCTTCGGTGGACTGATTCATCAGGCGGCAGATCTCTTCTAGACTCTCGCTTTCTTCTTGAGTACTTGCGGGAAGGGCAAATTCTTCAAGCTCGGGAGAACAAAGTGGAGCTGGATTCGGTGGAGCCTTGGATCGAGTTTGTTTGGTTGGAAGGGGACGAGCGACAGACTTCGACTTCTTTTGGTATGGGTTCGGCCCCGGTTTCTTGGCAGTCCCTGTCACAAGAGGATGATTTTGACGGTGGTGCTCCGGATGAGGCACGATGGCACCAGCATTTCCTACGAGTGGACAACCAGTTCCTTCATGGGTGGTGCGACGGGGCGATTTCTTGTGTTTGCCTCTTTTGCGTTTGCTACCACGAGATCCAACGGTGGAGGCAACATTGGAATGATCGTCATGAATGTCATCTTCCTCGTCCCGCTCTGGTTCCATCAATACTGGCGTGTCGTCTACCTGACCTTGAGGTTCGTCTTGAGGTTCCGTGTCGAAATTGGTGATACATTCACCCGTTTCGCCAAAAGCCCGATCTTGTTTCTCCCAACGATCATCAAACGAATGAAGAGCGGCTGCACGGTTCGACTCTTGTTGCTCTTGGTGGGCCGATTGGAGTCTCATTTTCCGCGCTTGCTTTGGATCGGCTGGGAGCGGCGGTGGGGGGTTTGCTGGTGCCACGGCGGCTGGAGGTCGAAATTGGAGAAGGAGGCTGGCATTTTCGACTTGAGAGAATGTATGGCAGTTTTCCTTGTTGGAGGTGTCGTCTGGAGAAACGGCAGAGAGTTGAGCGAGTTGCAAGGGAGAGCCATCTTCGCTTCCAAAGCCTTGGTCGTCTTCATCCTCGCTAGAATCCGAGGAGTCATCTGGAGGTGGTAAATTGAATTCGTCTTCAGCTGCGGCGTCGGCATTACTCTGCAAGATGAGTTCACCAGTGGCTTGACTCCAGTGTACAGTACCTTGACTGTTGTGTGGAGTAAACTCCACAATCTCTTCGTCATCTTCGGCCCCATCAATTTCTTCCTGTACCGCCAACAATGCTCTTTCATTGCCATTGGCAGTGGCTTCTGCTATTGAGGCAATCTGGGAGAAGAGAGATCGACCAGTATCTTGGAAGGTCCCTTTGGAGCGAGTGGATCGACCGGTGGACATGATGACCTGCTGACAAAGAGGACTACGAGTACTGGTGCGTGAGCAAAGAGGACACTGACACTGACCGAATCGATGACTGTGGACTCTCTCTCACTCACTCACCACCCAAAGATTGACAGCTGCCGCGGAACCAGTTGACTGGAGATGGGGTGACGTTTGACTGGTAACAGCGGCAATAGGAGCGGTAAAGGCGGCAATAGGAGCCACTAGTGACTCGGCAACGGTGACGGTTGCGTGATGTTGTGGCTGTTGAATGGCGTCCGATCGAGTTGTGTTGGTTGGTTGGTTGCGTGCTGCAATTGGATTTGGAGTGTGCTGCAGCAAGTGCTGAAGCCAAAATGGCGCCATTTGGTTGGCTTCAAACTCAAAATGTGAGCTAAAATAATCTTTACTTAGAAAACTCCAATTGCTTACTTAGAGGTGAAATTGTCACATGGTTCCAGAAGATACGCCCTTCCCCCTCCTGTGTCTCACTGTCCGGGAGCTCGCCCGGCCGGCTTCGACCTAAATGTCAATCCTATCGGATTTCCATTTAGGTCTCATCCGGCCGGGCTCGCTCCCGTTCCAGTTCGCCACTAGTTGGTGGAAGGGCGTTCCTCTACAGAATAGTATGGCAACGTCCGGCGATGAACTCGATATTGTTGCGCAAGGCAACAACACAGCACAGAACAGTTGCCTTGATGATTTGTGCTCCATCTCTTGAGCTACCCCCAATTGCTCCCGCTTTGTGGACAAGCTGCTGCGTGTTGACGCTTGTGCATGCGACTTGTTTCCTAGTGGTGGAGTTGTTGGGTTGATCTAATCCAATGCACAGTCCACCCCAGACTTTCATTGATACTGGAAAGCTTGCTGAGGGATCAATATACTCCTTTGCACTCTGTATTCTAAAGAGTGTTCATACAACCGCCAAGAACAGTCAACCATTGCCGCTGATGCTACGAATATTCTTTGAGTGTGGCTAGCTAGTACCGTACGCAATCTCTAATTCACTCTAATCTAACTACGGTTCGGTAGCTAGCAAGTAGGAGTCCTGCTCATGTCAGCACTTGGGGATCTTCTACGTAAGTTCCTCTCTCGCCAAACCTCCTCTACCATAAGTCCCAGTAGCTAGAGGGATATATCCTCCCAGCTGACCACTATTTATTGTGGTTGTCGTGTTTGTTTGCTCTTGTCGTTACTGTACGATGTTATTGCTGAGTATTGGTATTGTCAAAATTAATGGTACTGGGTGCTCTTCCAAATCCTTCTGGTAAATCGGTGGTGGCATCCAGTCCCCATGTTTGTGTTGCAATCAATTTGACCAATGCCATGTGATGAATGGCATGATGTGCGGCAAATCCCAATTCTCGTCCAATGGATGTTGCCAAGGCATATTCGGTATCGCTGTCTCCCGCGAGCATGAAAAACGCTTGTGCCGGCATTTGTTGTTTGGGCATGACAGTATTGCTGCTGCTCGTATCATCATCACCAGTACTAGTCATAGTAGTACTAGTATCCATAAGTTGAATGACTTCCAATTGATGAATCATGTTGACAATCCGCTCCGTGGCAGCGTCCATGTCACTTTCACTCGCACATCCTCGTTCGCGCAAATCGTAATGAAGTTCGGGAAGACGCCCACCCGGTTTTTCGGCAATCGATGCGGCCAATTCCATGTGATCGAGACTGTGTCGAAAATGTTGTCCCACCGATGCTTGTACGAGGGGACAGGTGGTTTGAAACAATTCCTTGGCAGTGGCAGGGTCGTGCTTTGCCGTGAGAGCGTCCAACAATCCCAATTTTTGAGAGAGAATTCCCAAATTGGCTTGACACAGTTTGGACAGTGCTGTCGTATTCGAAGAAGCAACCACCGAGCTGCTGACTTTGGTAATCGTAGGGGCGACCACCATGGTGAAAAAGATGACGACGACAAGGAGGAAGACGATGGTGGACACCGACGAATGATTTGTGGCCTTCAGCGCTGCAAAAATCTGGGTTGTGAAAGATCCAACAATCTGCCCGGGTGGACTTAGTGTAACGGACCTCCTTCCGTGTCAGATCCCACGGGAATGCAAATTCTCAAGATCCAGAATTTCCAACTTCCGGAAAGAATTTGAGAACTTTGCCCCACGTTCAACTCCCACGCCTCTTTTTCCGCAAGCTTACGAAACAGTCACTCACACCAAAGGTTTCTGTGGTGATGGGCACGTTGTAAATGCTCGCCAATCCAGTCTTTGGGCTGTCTGTGTGTGTGTGCATGAAGGCAGATAGATGTCGCCGTACCGGTACTGTACAGTATGTACCATAGCCCAAGCTTTTCTTCGGGCTACCATGTCGGGGTGCTTTTTACAATGTGTCCTCTAAAAGTGGGCGCATTGGATATCTACACTATTGGAAAATGGAAGTAGCTTTGAATAATACACTGTAGCTAGCTACGGGTAGGTACGCATTGTGAAGTAAAAGCTGTCAATAGCTAGCTAGTAGTCGTCTTGTTAACAGTTACTGAGCATATTGATTGGGTAGAAAAATTGTGTTACAAAATGTAGGTAAGAAAATGTATACCAAAAGTGGTGGGGGCCAGCCAGTGGATCCCACAAAAAAGGTAGGTAGAACGGTGGTAGAAGTGCTGTATCATCATCAAAATGGAACGAAAAACAGACCACATAAAACGTTGTGGTTTGTGGAACTAAACTTCTGCAGATGCTCCAATGGTAGCAGTTGGACTCGTGATTGCAGCGGCATGCCACGTCCCTCTTCGTTCCGATCGAGTAGCTTCTACAGGCGCTGTTGCTGGAGCCGCCGCCGCATGCCACGTGGATCGTCGAGTAGCCTTGTGTTGCGTCCGGAGTGTTTCCGCTTCTTGTCGAAAATGTTGAATGAGATCCTTTTCTTGTTTCTTTTGACTGCGTCGTACGGTGGCATTCAACGACGCGCGTACCAACCGTTCCGCCAATTCTTGTGCTTTGTACAGTTGATGCGTCTCGTTGGTGCGTTTGCGACGATTCCGGGAAATGTTCACATCCTTGACGCCCTTTTGTATATCCATCCGGGAGTAACCGCTGCTCTTGAGCATGGTTTCTCGAACAAACGACGGAATGCGCAGTTCTTCGCTGCGTCGTCGATCGGGACGTGACGATTCGTAATCGTCCAACGAGAGTTTGCCTTCCGATTGGACTTCCCAACCAATCGACAATGGAGCACCAATCATGACGGCGGGGTTATCTCCCAAACAAATGGGATACTCGCGAACGACCACATCCGTAAACGTCACCTTGTTGTTCTTACTAGACGAGTCATTGAGGGCTGGTGGAGCTTTTTCTTCCTCTTCTTCCTCGAGTCGACCACTGCGATCAATGTCAAAGTGAGAGAGGGACTCTTCCAGTGTTGCCACGCGAAGAATGGATCCAGCGGAAGATGCCAGCAACGACGAGGAACTGCTGTCGGTGGCGTCGCAGCTTTCCATGGCCGCCTTTTGGGTGGGAAAGACTTCGGGCAATTGAATGGAAGGGCGTTGTTTCGACTCGGGTTGGGCTGTCATACTGTATTGGTGTTGCTAATGCTATTGCTATTGCTATTGAACTGTTTGCTGAACTGTTGATGAGTACCGGTATATGAGATTGTAAAATGGTCCTCTTTGTGGCTATTGTGTTGCTGCAGATAAAGGATCGATTGGTGGTGTGTGGGCGTGTGTGTGTGGTTTGTGGGACGCCAACGGATTTTTGAAGCGTTCTGTTTTGGGTTTGGTCGCCTCGACCAGAACGAGAGAGAAAAGATCCAGACAAAGCAGTTAGTCGGTGGGTTCGTGTAACGTGTAAGATGGATGGGTCTCGACGTTCATAGAGTTATGCCCCTGTCTTGTAACTTACGGTGGAATATACAGTCACTCCCCCTCAACTTACGTGCATTAATTCTACTTACAAGAAACTTGAAGAATCGGCGTGACCTATCAAGACAATAATACCTTGTAAGATCTACAAGAATCGACTGAGTAATAAGCAACAGGGCTATTAAAAGTATTAACAATGGCTGCCATTGACCAAGCCGTCGGGGGCAACCGGGACCGGCCTTCAAGGAGTGATTTGCGCAAATTGTAAAATTCTTTTCGCAAGAAGAGAACTTGTTTATCTTCCGGAAACGAGCACAGAATTATGACTTCTTCCGGACCTCGCATGAGAATCTAGATTCCAAAAGAACAACATGCGGCATTGGCGCAGTGGCCCAGCAAGATTTGGTTCAACTGATCTACTGCCTTTGTTATCAATGAGAGGGTTGCTGTGACATGCTGAGCCTTCTCCAAGTACGACTGTAGTTCCCATCGGTCTTCTCGGCTCTGTTCCCAAAGCAAGCCTTCCGCAGGTTGGCGGCATCTCCACGTTGCGCAAAGGTTTGATTGTGTGATTGAAATGATTCGTTGAACGAATCGAATCAAATCGAATCGAATTGGATTCAATCTTCCAGATAGATCTACACTCCCTCTGGCGACAGGCATGAAACTCCATGCACATCCGGTGCACTCGTGGGCACTCCGCATGGAAGCAATGCCTCGATCAACCCTTGGTTCTTCTCCAGGCTCGACTCTGACTCTCCTCTAGCTAGAATATGCTTGTTAATCTTAAAAAGGATCAAAGGACTACCAGTATGCAGACCAGAAACATACCGTGCAACGTGCAACTCCATCCCAGAACAGCTTCGACCACTCTTGGAACCAATGCCTCGACCATCCCTGGTTCTTCCGGTGCTTCTCCTCCAGAACCAATCCCTTGACCAATGCTTCACCGTACGGTAGCTAGGCGCTAGGTGATCATACCGGTAGGATTACACAGTTCTTCATTTTCTACTGCAATGATATCGGTTATCGTGCGAGCAGCATCGCCTTCAAAAAAGCTCACCACTGCTGCAGCCATAGTCTTTACCTGTACCGTACGGTATGACCAACAACAACCGACCCAATGAACAAACCATGCCAACGACTTGCTTGTCTTGGTCATCCGCGGTAAATCACGGCGCAGACCCAGATGTGCTCAGAGATGGCTACAATATTATCGTTACGACAAGAAAACAAATATTTCAATACATGCATGTGTTGTCAGACTGTAGTGTTGGAGTGAAGTGCAGAAAAAAAAGTATGGTCTCTCTCAAGCTGAAAGAAGTAAGAATGAACGCTACCTAGCTCGAACGTTGTGCCTTTGCCAGTAGTGCAGTAGGTCGTGTTCATGGCGTATCTATTGTGGCAGAGTATGTCCCATCAATCCAGTTGTAAGGTGGTAGCAAACCAAAACAACGTGGATACGACAACGCTTATTGAAATTTACCGTAGGGACAACCTTGCACCGAAACCGCGATACCCTGAGGATAAGTAGCTAGATTCATATAAAGCGTTTGATGCTAATAGTTGGGATGGCAGAGATCCGGTCTTTGCATGCTTTGCTATTTACATACTCACGCCCCTTTTATAAGCTACCGGTGACCTTGTTCATCCCTCCAGTCTCGTACCAGGTGTAGGCCAACAGGACGGTGCTGGTGTAGTTTCAGGCGTTGGTTCAGAAGAGTAGGGCCACTTGTTGGTAGTGGAGTAGTGCAAGGCGTGTGTAGCCCACGGAGGTGAGCCTGGACTTTCTTCGGTCAAGGGTTGATTTGTGGTTCTGCCGCTCTGGTGCTGCATCATTGCCGAATGATTCCATCATTGGGTTCAGTACAACTCCAGTAACTGCGCAAATCTGTGCATGTAGAGGTCGAACTGTCGACCCTTTTTGTGATTGAAGATATCCAGGTGTTTAGAAATGTTGGTTAGCTTCTCTTCCAACTCTTGTTCTGGCTTTTGTAAGATGGATTGGAGAGAAGCATCAAAAGCAGCTGCACTAGCCACATCCACTTGGTATGTCACTTCCTCCCAGGGAACAAAATCTGGTAGTATTTGGATCTGTTGTGGACTGGTGATGAGTGGAATTGCACCACTCAACAGTGTGTCGATGAGACGGTTGGAGCCCCAAGTGTCACCACGGGCATGAAAGCCAAACCGAGCCTCTCCCAAGGCAGGACACTGATTGCCTCGTCCACACAGGGCCACGGTGTAGTTTTGATGCTTTTGACCTTCATGAAGCCAGTCACATATATGAGATCGATCTTGAAAAAGCTTGCTATTGGGTTTCAAAGTGGCAATCATGGCAAAATCTTTTGTCTTGTTGGTGTGATGAGAACAGGGCCGCCCTATGTAGAAGGAGGGGATGTGTACTCTGGGGGTTTGGTACTGTTTGGGTTTTCCAATGGTGGGAATACGATGTTCAAAGCTGATGGTATTGCAATTGAGAAGATGTGAGTAGGACAACTTGTCCCAGTGCTTGCGCCAATGGGAATCAACAACGATATGATCTCGTCCTTGACTGCGTTGGTACCATTTTGATTCCTGGAGCAACTGTTCTGCTCGATGGAGCAACTGCATATTGCAAATCCCCTTGTGGGCACAGAACTTGTTTTTGTTGTGCCCCCCTTTGTAGCCAACCTTCCATGCTGAGAGAAGAGTAGGGACAAGGAAAAGTTTTGCCTTGCTTGTGTCAAGGGTTCGCATGGGATGTTGTTTGGCATGCTGGAGCAGCCAGTAGTCATCCGAATGCTTGAAATTCAAGTAGGCACTCTGATGCAGCAATTCGACGCGATTGAGGCCACTATGGATGAAGGTGGCATTGACTGACCAGTCCAATTCATTGTCATAGATGTAAAAGGGAAGTTGAAACAACGACGACGAATCCACTGCAGTAAATCGTTCCTCTGCTGCTGGAGTCGAGAAGGAAACTGTGATTTGCTGATCGGTTGTCTCATTGCTGGACGCGGAATCTTCGTCATGATGCCATGGTGTTTCTAATCTCAGCGATGCTGCCATTCGAATGACAGAGGAGGAAGAGACATTGCTCATGAAGAGTTGTCGAAACGAAGATTGGTCTCCCCAGAATGTCTGGGATTGCACAAGCACAAGTCCAAGGATTGATCCTAGCAAGTAGCCAACCTTGGGCTTGTTGTTGTTCAAGCCATTGCTGCTTCCGTTGCTCATGCTGCTGGTGGTGTTGTGTGTCGTGCGGTTTTCGAGGATGATTCCTCGTTGATAACCTGATTGCACTGAAAAGAAGCAAGCAACGCAAAAGATTGGTGCTGTGGACAAGTTGCTTCTAGCTAGCTACCGGTATAATGGCTTCGGTATCTTGGCTCCTGCACATGCTGTCCGGAAGTAAGTGAAGAGTCAATTTTGTCCACCACAGTGGTCGCAGCTCTGCCGTACCACTCCGGTGGAAAGAAACCGGAGCATCTCATTTCTTGCTTCGAGCTTCGAACCTCCTATGCGCAGTCATTGCCTCTTATGAATGGCTTGCTCCATTGAGTTAGAGCACTGAGTGACAACCACTCGGAGCATTCTTCTTCTGCTATTACTCCGGTCACAGAGAACAGGTTGTGACACTCAATGGGTGTCGGGGTGCCTCTTCAACAAACTATTTGCGCCTTGAACAGAGTCCCAGCGAAAAACCCAGCGAAATAGCTTATGCATATGACGATGGTTAACTGACTAGGGTTAAAGGTTTCAAATTGCGCCGCCAGCTTGTCATGCAATTCTAATATTTCTTTATTCATTTAATTCTCTATTTCTTTATGTGTAATTCTAAATGAAACCAACAACAGCTTCTCGCACTTTCAGCTCGGATTATGCTTGTGTCAACAGGTCCACCAAGTCCTGCATCATCATCCCTCCATCACCCCCAACAGCAAATACAAAGAAGGCACCAAAGATCACTGCAGAGGCAAAGACCTCGTAGAAAATGGCCATTTTGCCTGTGGGCACTGTTGGGTCTAATAACACTGCAGCTACTAGTAATATCAAGGTTAATTTGTTGATTTGGGCGAGCTGAGAAGAAAAAGTGATCTTTTTGGCTGGTCGCTTTGAAGTCTGGATCTGAGAATGCCAGTTTCCTTAAATTCCTACGGTGGTGCGGTCTTTTTCTTATCCGGGTCCGCTAAATATCTAGACCGGCCAACACACTCCTGCCGTGGTCCCGAATGGATCCACGGAACGATTAAAACTAAACTAAATAGGAGGATGCCCCATAATAAAAGCGCGATGCGTATGGAATAGGGCACCTTGGAGGGGCTTCGTGAGAAAGTCCCCGTGCATGTCCTGTGTGGGACAATACACCACTCGTACATTTCCCTGCTTCACTTGGTCGTGAATAAAGAAGAAACGCACATTA